GAAATAACCAGCTTTTATGATCAAGCCTACAACGTCATTGACCAGGGTCAAGGAAATATGAGGACCCAAGGAACTGCCAGAGTTGCCTCAGCAAAACCTTCTCAATTAATTTTCTTAAAAAAGGAAAGTTGGACAATGGTCAAGAGTTAGTAGGATCATCTATGTCAGCAGTTGGGTTCTTGATCAGAAGCTATGTGTTAATTATTTCAGAATAACTGGCTGCCTGCAACTCTCCACAGAGAACTGAAGACAGCCTTTACTAACTGTATGCCTAATGCCTCCAGGCTTGCCTTCACAATCCAGCACACCTCCAGAACTACAGTGAATAACACTAACTGAAACAAACCAAGATGATTCAGTATTCATCCCTTCAAGTCTTCTTTGTTTCCAGAGAAGTAGACACTTTGATGCAAATATGGGCAGCTTTGTCCACAAAGTAACATGAGACTTCTTCACAGAAAGAAATAAGAAAAACTCCATAACCAAGTTGGGACAACTAAGACCAGACTCTATCATTGGAAATGCTTTGTTTTCTGAGGATACTATAGTGAAGACAAAGAAAACTCTCTGTCTTACACACAACACATGGTACAATCATAAACTTGCGAGACCTCTACCACCAAAGTTCTGGCAATAGCCCCTCTCTTTCTACCCAGTTTAAGTAGAAAAGCTGAGAAGGTAAAAGATACAGAAAGTGGACATAGGGACAACCCTACTGATAATGTAACCCGGTGAACCTGGTTGTGTACCCCCTTCTCCAATTGAAGGGAGATGTTGGCAAGGCAGGTGCTGTGTGGTGGGAGAACTGCTGGCTACATGCAGGTTCCCCTCCCCCATAGAAAGTCAGATCCACACTTGACATCTTAAATGTATACAAATTTATTACTATATATAAGATTTACAGAAAAATAATGTTAATAAACATATATACAATAGGGCTGTGCAAAACTTCGGTCACTGATTCAATTTGGCCCAATTCGGTGGCCGAATCTTCAAATCCAAATCAGGAGACCCTTTAATCCCTCCGAATTGAATTGGAATCCTCTGAATAGGTTCGGAGAGATTTGGAAGGATTTGACGATTCGGACATAGACACAGCTTTAAATGTTTTTTCTACATACTTCAAGGTACCAGGCAACTTGTGAATGCTGAGATGCTGGGGCAGACGGAGTGTGGGGGAGTCCCCAGAGCACTTGACAGCAGACCCAGAAGTGGACCAGAAGCACTTGCAGTCCACTTCCAGGTCTGCTGGGAAGTGCGCGGTGGGGGGAGGCCTGCATCCCCCTGGCTTGGCAACTGGTGCTTCATGGGTCTGGGGGAGCACCTGGGGTCCCCCTGTGGCCAATCACCAAGCTGGGCAGGGGTAGGGGGTGGTCCCCCACGCACTCAGCAGTGGACCCAGAAGTCGACCAGAAGTACTTCCAGTCCACTTCCGGGGTCACTGCCGAGCACATGGGGGGGGGTGGGGAGGGGCAGGGTGCATTCCTGTGGGACACTCCATCTACCCCAGCATCGCAGGGTTCACAAATTATGCCTAGTACCTTGAGGTATGTAGAAAAAAACATTTAAAGCTGTGTCTATAGCCAAATCGATGATTCTCTGATTCACCATTGAATCTTCATTTTCGGATTCGGCAGAATCGAATCTGGGACAGTGATCTAAATCAACTAATCGAATCACTGTCCCCCAATTCAAGCCAAATCCAAGTTGAATATGGCCCATTTCACACACCCCTAATATACAATATGTAATCACTTATACAATACTGTATTCTATAAATAACAGCTAGAGGATTACTCCATCTCAAGGGCTTCACACTCTACACAAGAAATTAACTAACCTAGAACAAATAACAAACAGGTAAGTAAAGGTGAACCATAAATAAGTATCAAGAAGGGTGTCACTAGAATACACATATATAACAAATCATTTAGACTATCAAGAATATAGGTAATATTTACAGAGTCTTATATCCCACCTCAGGATACAGGTAACTATCCCACTAAGAATTAAATTTAATTTTAACACTTTTTTTACAGCTTTACAGTCCATCGGATCCTAATTTACTTAAACATTAATTATAAACATATAAAACATACATACTGAATTACTGCTTAGCCTCATTACATCAGCTTAACGATTTTAATATACCTCTTCAGTTTAGACTTTATCAACATGCACTCATAACAAACATAAAATAAAAACTATATAATATAGGATGCCCATTCACAAAATATAAGGTGCAACACCCTTTGAATATAGTTAACGTATATAAAAAACTCCAAGGCCCAGACCATTCTGTAGCCTTGGCTGCATTACGGGGGGGAGGGAAGGGGGGGGAAAGGGAAGAAACTTCCCCTGTGTCCTTTAGGTTTTAGGTTTACCCCAGACCAGTCAAAATGCCTCCTAAAAAACTAGAATATGTTTAAATTCAGGGAGCCCTGCCCTGCTAGGCTTCCCCTTCAAGGGTCAGCTCCACTGACCCAGGTGGACCTTTCCCACTCCCCATAAGAATCCTCTTCCCTGGAAACTCACACTCCAGGGAGCAGGGTGGAGGGTCCTCGTCTCTCCCGCAATGAGTAACCACTTGAGGCTCCAGCAGTCTCTTTCTCTTTCTGGGCCTACCGGCCCTGGTTGCCTTGTACACTGTGGTGTGCACTGGTGGCTTCACTCCTGTGCCCAGGGTTGGGGCCCCAAGCTGCTTTGCTGGGTTCCAGGGTCCTGGTCTCTGCCAGGGCCCTCTATGCAAGGCTTGGGTTTCAGATACCTGGCCTCGTGCCAGGGGGGTTGCAGGCCCTAGCTGCCCCGTGCAGCTTCTGGGGCCTGGGTCTGCTCCTGGACCCTCTGTGCAGTGTTGCCTGCATCAAGCTTTTCTGGCCTTGTGCCAGGAGTGGAAGGCCCAAGCCGCCTCATACAACTGTGGGGCCTTGGTCCTGCTTGCACCGCACTGTGCACCATCCGTACACTGACCCTGGCTGCTTACCAGGGGTTGTGGACCCAAGCTGCCTCATATGGCTCCCAGGGCCCTGGTCCACTCCTGGACCCTCCATGCAGCGTTGCCTGCACTGGGCCCCTGGCCTCATACCAGGGATTGTGGACCCAAACCGCCCCATTTAGCTTCAGGGTCCCTGCTATTTGCGCCAACCTGTGCACCGTGCCTCTGGCTCCATGCCAGAGGTGCAGACCCAAGCTGCCTCATACAGCTTCCAGGGTCTTGCCCTGTGCATCAAGCTGTGTACCACTGTCACGCTTCTCAGCGGCACTGCTGAGCACCACACCACTCGCCGCTCCCCATCCGGCAATGAGAAGGGGTCTTCAGGCTCTTCTGGAGCTGCCACATTTGCGCCACTCCCCAGCTCTTCTTTAACCCATCTTCCCTCTTCTCCGTCCCTGAAAGCAGTGTCCGTGTGCCAAGCATGCTGTTCTTTTATAGCCTTGGGAGGCTCTGCCCCCAGATTGCAAAAAGGACCAATCAGGGTGAGGGGCAGTAGGGTCCTCACCCAGGTCCAGGCTCTTCGCCTTGCCCCAAGCAGGGGCAGGGCAGCCTCTCCTCTGTCGCCTCCTGAGTAGTGGGAAAATCCCACCAGTGGCTCAAAGCCCTTTCAAGCCGGGCTGCTACCAGCATGCCCGCCACAATAGTGATTAGCAAAAGACCATGTTAAAGTTGCACTAAAACATCACTACAGTAGTCAGGCAATGAAATGGTAGTTTTCTTACAGCTACATTAAGCTGAATTGTTTTTATTACCATAAGGGAAACTTACCACCTTAAGGACACCCTGGATACAAAGAAGACAATGAGGAATCTATAACAAAGGTGTAATACCAAACTCCCAGCCTTCAACTTTGATTCAAGAGTGTGCTCAGTTCTATGAAGAAAGCTAACAGGCACTACAGTAATATGAATAAATAATGATAACATCGATTTTTGCATCATATGCCAAAAAATAAACCAGACCTTCCTCTTCTCCTTCCACCCAACTGGACCAGTCTGTTCTGAAAGTGGCCTTAAGACATCATCCGTTTTTGTGAAGTCAAGATCACCGTTTTCTATCAACCACTGAATGATGCTGAGTCTGTTAGCCATCAATCTCGCATTAAACAACATGAAGCAGAGAACATGATCCCTCTTCAGTAACAGAAAGAACCAGGATGCATTTCCCAACCTTTGACCTTTTGCTGGGTACTCACTGTTTTACTCCCAGGATTCTCCTGCCTGCTCACTGCAAGGGGAACCATTGGCGACTATCACATTCTTCATCACCAAAATGTATCAGCATTGCCTAGCTATTAAAATTAAATGCTTTTGAAATGTTTTGCATACAATTTTCAAAATACTGTGGCTTAGCAAGAGCATTCAGGCAGACTTTAAAATGATATTCAGGGTAGATGCAAGTTTAGAAAAGTGTAAATAAGTTCTACTGAAACACGGAAACCTACATTTTCCAAATAAAATTAAGCTATTGGTTTCTGCAAATGAACAAGATCAAGTTGTGAAGGATGTATGGTTTCTTTACAGGCACAATTCTGCCTTCATTTAAATGGATGCAACTGCCACTTACTTTTCATGGACTAACAGCTGGGTAAATAAGGGTAGAATTTGGCCAGTAATGATTAAGACCAGTGCAAAGACGCATCAAGAGAGCTTTCCATTTGTTTGATGTCTCAGCTATGCTGCATGTCTTGCTTTTTTCACAGGGCTGTACTTTGTATTCGTTAGAGCTACAACATGCTGTCATGCTTTGCCATGGTGGATGGCTAAATTATCTGTGGTACCAAAGTTAATATATAATCACCTACTACAGAATGACAAAACTTGAAATAGAAGATTGAATATTGAGTCTGCAGACCCTCCCTGCTATTATTTCCCAACAGCACTGCAAAAATCTTTTGTTTGATATCTACAGACTGTAGTAACCACGCTGATCAATACTACAAGTTGCAGTTAAATGGTTTTTGCTTGTGTCTGTGGCACTAATCTCAGTCTTTGTCCCACTCCAGTTAATAGGCTGCATTATTGGCAGACAAGGCAGTAAGATAAATGAAATCAGGCAGATGTCAGGAGCGCAGATCAAGATTGCTAATGCCACAGAAGGCTCTGCAGAGCGACAAGTTACAATCACAGGATCCCCTGCAAACATCAGCTTAGCACAGTACCTCATTAATGCAAGGTAAGTTTGCTTTGTGATACGCTTCTGCAGGGTTGCTCTGTCTGTTATCCAGTTCTGTGTCCAGGGTAAATCCAGAAAATTGCTTTGCAGTGTCCATTCTGCATAGTACGATTGATTACCTATTTGTAAATCCTGTATGATTGGAGCCTGTGTTTATTGGTGGTCTATATGGAAAGTAGCTTAATCTGGTGCAATTTTGTTTGCACTGAATCACCAGAGCTCAAGTCCTGAACATTCCCGTTCTGCATCCAGCTAGCCTCTGAGATCGCAACAGTAAATGATCCTGTCATAAATTCTTCGGGAGATAATGCTTTTCACAGAACAAACTGATAGTAATGCTGAACCAGTCTGCTGTCCTAAATGGCAACTAGAGTGAAACAGATTGCAAAACAGATTTAATTTGCTAGCTGGAAATTGCTTCTCAGAGTTGACATTAAATAGAAATTTGGTTGCTAAAGAGACATGGGACTTATTTTTTCAGAGACAGCTCCATAAATTTGTAAAATGTGCACCCTAATGAGACAGGGTAAGAATTTGTTTCTACACTTTCAGTGCCATAGTTAATGAAAACATTAGCTGGTTGGCTGGTTGGTTAGCTTTTGGGGGACTGTTTCACTCTTTATCAATTTTGATCTGATTATTTAGGAAAATATTAATATTGATATGCAAATAGCAATCCAGTTGATATTATCGCTGGAAGAAAGTGCCATGAATATAATGCTGTCTTAAGTCTGCTTGTAAATGCTGTACCAAGGCAATATATAGAAAAAATAGGATATATATATTATGCTGTCTCTTTAAAATACAGTGACATCCCCCAAATCAAATTACTCTCTTGAACATGCTTGCGGCTAGAGTAATTTAAAATAGGTAAACCAGCATAAGGGTGATTGTGTGTTGGGTTATAGTCCTATCAAATCCAGAAGCATCTACCAAGATAACAAATCTCTCCACCAGGACCACCAATTTTATCTGACAATCAATGGAAAACCATGTAGACCCTATGAACACAGGAAAAGGATCTCTTTAAAATATATATGTAGCCTTACATCATAGCAAACAAACTATATCTTGTTGGTAACTTTGTATGATTTGAAAGTAGCTTGCTAGGGATAGATGTCCAGATTTATGTTAGCATGAAGCTTCAACATTAGCCTAGCCCATTTCCAGAATCCTAAGACATGCAACTCTGATTATTTAAATTCTTTGTAGCATATAAATCACTTCCTTAAGCCCTGTGATCAAATAAAAATGTGTTCCCTCCTTTAACCCTTAAGGATATGTTCTTCTCTTGGTGTTCAGGGATTCCCCACACATCGAGACGAGAATAGACCCCTTCACTTTTAGTTGCACAAACACCATATGGCATGCATCTGGATCTCAGAAGATAACAATTTAAGATCTTCAAGACAGCTAAAGCATGCAAATATAATAATGCACTTATTAATGGAGTTGCAGTGAGCTGCTCACCAGAGACAGAACCTCTAGTGAACAAACTGCTCTTTGACTCAGTTAGAAAAAAGCCCGTGAACTCTTTCACAGTTCTGTTTATTACCGGCTAATGGTTCTTTTAATGGAATGGGATATTTAAAAGGTCTTTTAACACCCTTTTGCAAAGAAGAAAACTGCTCAGCAATCACACACTATGGATACTATATACCTGTGAAACTAAAAACAAAATAGTACTTTCTTCCTGTTGAATTTCTAGGTAGAAGGCATTTGTTACCATCATATACAATAAACCATTCATATATTATGTACCATATGTTGGAAATGTATCTAGATAAAGTGACTTCATTTGTAAATGAAGAGTCTTAAATCAATGTATAATAAATTAAGCTCTAAAGTATCATAGGTAATTAAGGTGGCCTTTTCATTTAAAAAAAGCTATGCTACGTGACCAGTTGTTTGGCCAACAGATATACTGAGGAGGGAAGTATTCTGTTGACGTAGGTACCACCTCAGCAACAGCACAAGGTGGAAGTTTCACCAGAAAGGCCAGGAATTGAATGAGAGATGGATGCTGAATAGCCTCAATCCAACAAGGGGTCTTCCCATTTTATGGTTTAGGAGCCATGGCACAGCCTGAGGGAAATAGACCTTGTCACTAATGGTGCAGCACCTCTTCTATGGATATATGGAGTCAACTTCAGTGTCCAGGGTTGCAAATCCAAAACTTTTTACAAGCCTCCACATTCTCTTATTAAAAAAAAATGAATTACACATAAAATATAGATGTGAAATAAATTGCTATTGGAAAGAGTTGTGTATAACATCAAAACGCTATGCCTCCCAATCACCCATGGTAATACAAAAATAGTAGACCTACTGCTAGACCATGGGTCACCATGTTTCTCTGCCATTTCTGGACTTCCTTTTTGTTTCCTAGTTCAGAGAGTTACATCTGACTTTGACTTTCATGCTTCAGACTAGATTAGCACAGCAGGTTATAGCATGCTGTTACCTAATGCCGTGGGTCTCAGTTTTGTCCCTGTAGAGGCCAAGAGATGTGAAAGTGCTAGTCCCATACAATTAGCTGATGTGGTAATACTTCTAGAATTCAGTGTCTAGCAGGCATGCCATGTCACAGAAAGAACAGCTTTTCAAAATCATCTGAAATATTTCTAGCCACATGTGCCTTTTTAAAATCATTTACCAAGCAGTCTAAATTAGCTTTCTTTTTTCTGCAGCATCATATTAATGTAGGGATATGTGCACTAGAGTACATTTTAGAAAATTAAAGCTGCATAGTCCATGAAGACAGATATTTAAAACTTATGAAACCTTATTTGGGGTTGGAGTGATATATAACAACAGTGACCTTTGTACATGACAAATATGTCACATTTTAGTTATTTGCATCAGCAAGACCTTAGTTCCTGTTATGGGTGCCGAATACATGGAGGTCCGAGGGCCCTGGCCCCCCTCGGGAAGAGGGCTGTCACCTGAAACACATAAAACTTCCCACATGTCCATCAGCTTAGCCCTCTCCCACCCTCCCCTCCCCCCAGCAAAAATAAAAATTGGCACCTATGTTTCCTGTACAGTTTTCTGTCCCATAACAGGTGGAACAGAAATCATGTAACTTCAGACTGAATCATGTAACTTCAAGTAAAGCATTTAAATTCTATTTCTAATAACTGGGCTTTTCAATGTCAAATTATAATTTGGAAAATTCTTACTAAAAATGAGCTGCACCAGTCAGCTTTACTCCATGCAACATCCTACTCCCTGGAAGCCTAAACGAATTCAGGGTGACTTTCTTGTTGAAGGGCATTTCATGGAAGATAGTTATCAATGTAGAAGTAAAAAGTATTTGATTAATACAGGCGAACAGTCAAAACTCAATAGCATGGGTCCATACCTATACCTATTTTAGCAGGCCCTTAGTTATGGCTGTGCAACCAAGTAAGCTGATGACAACGAGGCAAGGCAGCTGTAAATGAAACCATCACTCCAGAATCTTTGTTACCAAGGATGCTACATCAGAAAAAAAATGTTCAGATCCTAAGCTGAAGTTTCAGCATTAGTGATTAGAATACCCACCCCCCACTTTTTTTTTTTTTTTTTTACATACAAAGTCATTTGATCAAGTCATGGAAGGGCAATAAATATTGTAGCCCCGTAATGTCATTTTAGCAGGCATCCTTTGAACTGAGACTGAGCTGTAAGTGCAAAATACAATTTTAGAAAATTCACTTTGCAAAACGTGCAGTATTCTGGGTAACTGTCAGTCACCAAGCTGACAGCATACCCACCCTGAAGTTGGCTCCAAATTTCAGGGACAGGTAAGGGGCATGTTACATGTAAATTTGAGATCCATGTTGATCGAGGTTTCATATTTTAAATGGCACTGTTTACTGTATAAAGTTCTTTCTATGAAGGAACAATAAGTAGCTGCAACAATAAGGCTAAAGAAAGAGGATGGAGGAGCTTTGTGGAGATCAAGGATACAGAAATCAAAGCGTCCTGTTTCACAAATGACATCTGCATTTCACAACCCTGCTAAACTGCTCCTAAACCTTTACTGGCATACCTGAGAAGGGTTCTGCTTTCCCACTCCTTAACAGAAGGGGGGAAGACTCCCAGAAGCCCACTCCACTGTGAGAGGGTAAAGACCTAGTGGCTGCTGCACAGCAATCCTCCCACCACATGCACACCCTAGCCCCCCAAGCTCACACAAGCCCCAGGCTCCCTCATACTTTAGCTTTAGCAACAGGTGGAGGATGGGGAGAGAGACCATGGAGTCAAGCACCACGTCCTTGGTCACTTTCTAGGGTTGTTTCATCTGCTGCCTTTGGGTCAGGAAGCCCAAGGCCGCCTAACCAAGGTCTTTTCATGGTTACCTTTATCCATCCAGCCCTGGTGAGCAGGAGACATTCCTGCCAGTTATTTTCAACTAGATTGAGCTGTGGGCTAAGTGGAAACCAAGCCAGGTGGTTGGTAGGCCTGTCCCAGGGTGAATTTTCCTCCCTTCAGGAGGGAGACACGTGTGTGGTTACTCCCTAACATTATGCACTGTGGCTAGCTCAGTCCTATAAAGCTTACAGAAATAGGAAAGCAGAGGTAGGTTGAAATGTTTCCCAGTGTGATGACGGTTGAGCAGGCAGCTCTCAGGAGGCCCTCATCCCTGATTAATGTTTGTTAGATTCATAGATGTTTGGGTCAGACGGGGACCTTAGCAGATCATCAAGTCCGACCCCCTGCCCTGGGCAGGAAAGAGCGCTGGGGTCAGATGACCCCAGCCAAGTGCCTATCCAGCCTTCTCTTAAAGACCCCCAAGGTAGGGGAGAGCACCACCTCCCTTGGAAATTGATTCCAGATTCTGGCAACCCTTACTGTAAAGGAGTTCTTCCTGACGTCTAACATAGATCTATGACATAGCTGCCCCTGCCTCATAACAGAAGCTGAATGTGAAGAAAACTGTGGCTCAGAGAAGGCCATAGGGTATGGGAGAGGGAGGGAGGGGAGAGGCTACCAGGGCTGGCCAGCAGATCCTT